AGGAGTGTTAGCTTGAGCTCGCACTGTCCCATGGACTACCCCTCAGTCTTTACCAGCAATTGATGTTAAAAGCAGCAAGTATAGGATTGGTGGGAGTCTAATCTATAAGACCCACACTGAGGCAGTATAATGTGGAGATATGAGTTGAAATGTGCCATGTTTTGTCTGCTTCTAGACCCATATTTCTAAGCAGAATATAAACTTACTTACACAGTGTTGACTGTGATGGCCACACAAGTACAAGGAGGTGAAAGAGTGCCATTTTAGTCAGCCTGCTATTTCTCCTTTTTCCAAGTCCCATAACTATTTTTTCATAGAAATGACAGTGCTCTCAAATATAATTTTTTTTCCTAATATGTTTTTTTTCCCCCTTCTCTCTACAGTTCTTCGCCTTCGTGGTTACCTCCTGCTATGCTGGAAATACGTATTTTAGCTTTATATCTTGGCGATCGCGAACTTTGCAGTAAATATTTTGTTAAAATGAATTCTGTAGTATAAAATATCTTGAGGACTATACTCTTTTGACAAAAGCCTGGAAGAGAGATGAGGTCTTTTTGAACATTTCTGTTAGAATTGACACAATATATTTTAAGCTGAGATTATATGATTATTTATAATACCATTCCATCTTTAGAGACATCTAACACCGACTTTGTACTGTACAATAAAATTTCATACTGCTTCTTTTAAAATTAACATCATATTTTTCTAGACATTGTATAGATGTTATTACTAAACCTTTAATAAATCTTACTCAGACAATGTGCCAATTTTGTAAATGTAACTTTTTAAATGTTGCAGGTATACTTTTGATACTGAATGCTACAAATCAAAACTAAGATTGATACTGTCTCATTATTATGTATAAAAAGTGACATTGTGCAGAAAAAAACCCACCCAAAACATTAAAAGTAAATAAATAAATGACCCAGCTGTGCATATTCTGTAAACTGAGAGTAAAAGGTTGCTTTTTAAATTTCTTTTTCAGAGAAAAATATATACTACTAAGAATTCTGATGATCCTGTCAGTTGGCACATTCTAACAGCTTCTCACAATCAAGAGATTGCTTTTGGAACCTGTTACTGTAGCGCTGAAGCTCATTGAAGGAATGTTGTGCCTGAAACACATTATTTTAACAGGTTTCTCAAATCCAGCAGGCTCTGGGGCATAAGTCTAGACAACACTCCCTTAGTACTCAGTGTTTAACCTACTGAGAATATCACAAAACACCTGCTAAAGGTAATAAATTTTGTTTCTCAGGGGACTGTGTTTTTCTCTTTTCTCCTCAGATTAGGCCATCAATCTGTCCTAATTAAAATCTGGGCTTCTAAATTCTATTAAATGATATAAAGATTAAATCCATAGAATTGTCAAGACACCAGTGCTAGAAACAAAGAATTATTCCCTCCTTTCTTGTCTACTGGCATCATCTGAGTTGTTAGTTTAACAAATGAAGTTTTTAATTTGACACTCATATTTAAATATCTTTGAGTCAAGCAGAAATATGACAAGATTATGACTGTCAAAACAGATACCTTTGAAAATTACTTTCAGATACAAATTACCTAAGGAAATTTTTTTTTCTAGGAATTATATGGAGAGTTGTGATTGTTTTATGATATTATTTAAAGTTTTTCTCATTTAAGTAACTGCTGGGAAATCTTTTATTCCTGGATTAAGAAGATTTGGACTCTCTTCTAGTCTTCAAAAACTTAGCTGGACAATTCTATATGGTAGTAGAGAAATCTTACTACTTAAAAAAACTTCTTTATTTCTCCCTGTAACTAAATGGTGTGTGCTTACTTACATGCATGCCCTGCAGCAAAGAAGATTTATCAGCAGCCAGCTAATTCTGTTTTCAGTCACATTGTTTTGTTCTTGATTATCTGTTGGAGTCACAGGATTTCAGTGTAAGGGAAGCCAAGATATTATTTTAAAACCTATATTTGTCTGCAGATTGCATCTGGCCTGTACAACAAAGGTCAGGCTGTCTGCTGCTTGCTAAAATTACCCAGTTGTGAGAATGAAGAAGGGCTACCAACTATGCATTTTATCTACACAGATAAAATGTGTCATTAAAATCTCATATGCTCTTTTCCATTGCTGGAAAAAAATCAAAGGCATAAAAATGATCCAAATGTCAACTGATAAAATGCGACTAGAAATATAGCCAGAATTAAAATCTCATCAGTAAAAATGCCTTCATAGTAATAGAAATTCTTTCTTAAATGATATTTAAGGTACCTATCTTAAGTCAAAAGAATGTGACTTTGCACAAATGTTTCATGATTTTGTGGTAACTGTGATGGTCTGGTCTAAAGTCATAACCCAGACGACATTTGTGGATAGAGGTAATAGGAGGGAGTAGAGCTAAGAGGGAGTAATGTGTTTCATCCAGTTTACCAAAAACTGTCATGGAAACTGTGTTACATGTCAGAATAAACACATTTAACAAAGGACAAAACACTACTATTACCAGGTAAGGAATGATTCTGGCAAAATATCTACCACCTCTCTGAGTCCTCAGCGCTGATCCTCAAGGGAAGATGTGTGGCATGTCTTCCAAAGGCAAATCTGTGAGTTGAATCCTTAATTCTGAATTTTAAAAAATACGCACTAGGCAGAAATTTGCTTTAGGCTTGGCCCTGCTTATTTTCACAAACCATAACATATCTGCCTTACTCTTTCCTTTTAGAAAGATAATTATCTTGCTTCCCATGCTCTTTCTCATCTGTCTCATTTCTCAGCTGTTCCCCAGGTACCAACTGCCTGTTTTTCAAGCGTTCTGAATACCTAGTTAAAATTGGAGGAATTGGTACAAGCTGAGAATTACTTCTGAAGTTTGCTCCTCCTCTTTCAGGCCTGAAGAAAGGCATAAGCACCCAAAAGGTTATCGGTCCTTTATTAGTCTTAAATACTGATTTGCAAACTATGACTTTCGTCTTTGTATATTCTAATATTGATAAAGAAGATAAGCTAGCAGTGGTTTATCACATAACAATTAAAACAAGATTTGTGGCTGCAAGCATTGCTTAGTGTTCATAAGACTGAAAGAAACCTTATTTAAAGGAACAACTGGTAAGTGATGAAATCATTAGTGAAATTCTTAATACAGATATTTAGAAGAATAAATAAAATGCTAATCAACTGGCAAAATGAAGGTATTTGACATTATAAATAACTTGTGTCAGACAAACAGTCTCTGAAAAATCTAAGTCACCCACATACATAAGGATACTTGATGTCAACTTATGGCCATCAAATTTCATTTTCAAAGGAGTTGTCAGTACCTCATCATCATCATACAAGATGCACTTAACAAGATGAAGTAAATAGCATGAGAACTGTAATAAAAACTTCAAATTCAGCAGTGTTTTAGACTGACTTTGTGCCAGTGGTTTACAGAAGATGCCTGTATTTCTGAGTAGAAAGTATGACTGTTATTCTACTTGTAGTAATTTAAAGGTATGTCTATTTCACTGGACTGAACTGAGATCAGCAGGGCCCCAGTCATATACACACTTTCAAAAGAAGTTAAGAACTAAAGAACCTGAATCAGCAGGTAAGAAGAATATATTTCTTAATAGGAAGTACGGAAGTTGCTAGAACCTTCCTCCGCAGGGCTTACAAGAAACCTATAAATGTGCCTGCTTCTGAACTTGAAGTGTAAGGAGAAGAGGAAAAAAGAGAAGCAGCTGTTTAAAACAAACCAAACAAAAACTCTTTCTCAGCAGCTAGCATTTTACTCTTACAGAGACCAGCAATGTTGTAGCTTTGATATCTAATGACATGAGATAAAATTGGATGGGACAGGTAATATCTTTTATTGCAACTACTAGCTGGCTTAATAGAAGCCCAAAACTATGTAGTGCTTTAATCTATTACAGACCATTGCCCACACTGGCAAACCCTGTCTTGCTCGCGTAAATTGCTTGTGCTAGCCCCTTATTTGTGTTGGAGATGATCTGAACTTGCCCGTCTTCCCTCCTAAGACAATTTTAGTTTTATTAAAAACTAAATATGAACAGAACGCGCATCCTAACTGCAGAACAGAGCAGCAGAAGCTGGGGTTACTACTGTGATGAGTGCAAAAGCGGCACATGCCCAGCTCGGAGGCCTGCTATTACCTCACTTGTTTTGCTTTCTGACAAGTTTAAAAATAACTTGAGGAAACACATAGCTTCCTTTGCTGAGTTGTGTTAGTATCTCTGGACGATTTAATTCAAACAATGGGGCTGAGACATTTGGACAGTCACTGCAGTGCTGCCTGTCGCTGCCCATTTGGTGCAAATGTTATTTCTTTTACGAGACCGTGAATCAGAAGGTTGGGGTTTTTTTGGCGAGAATGCACGTTGCGTGGGAAGATGCTGTTCGCAGCTGTACCTCCAACCGCGAAGCACCGCAGCAGCTCCCCGCCAGGGACGTCGCCGACCGACCTGTGCCAGGCCGAGGGGCCGTTTATCACCGCTGGAGTAAAGCCGCCAGCCGCTGGGGTGGCCGGTTCCGTGCGAGGCTCCCCTCCCGGGACCCCGCGGCGTACAGCCAGGCGTCCCTCTCCCTGCTTGGAAGCGTTCGCTTCGGCCTCTATTTTCACGTAACCCAGCTGCAAGAGGGGAGGAAGGGCCGGGCGTCCCGCTGCGGCCGCCGCTCCGGAACGGTGCTGCGGGGGGGTGCCGGCTCGGAGCCGCGGCACGG